CCTGTGACCACCTGCCCATATCTCTAAGGGATTTGGAACCCCAGTAGAAATCATAATTTCAGCTAAATATTAATATTCTAGGTAACAGAAGTTAAAAAATATTTTCAGGAACCTTGTAGTATAGTCTAGACTCCTAGGACCCCCCTTAGTAACACATATTACAGGTTTTAGGGTTCAAGGTCTAAACTCCTAGTTCTCTCTGAATAACCCCCAAAAACACTCCCCTATATTAGCCCCTATATAACCCCCTTTTTAGGAGTTTGGACTATAACTCAAGTGTGAGCCTCACACTTGCAATCGCTTGAACACCCCCAGTCCCCTGAAGAGACTACTGACCAAAATGTCCCCTATCCCGTAATTGTCTGATTGGGGACCCTTGTATAATTCTAGGCTATATTCCCTAGTCAGGGGATATTGGACGTTCTGGGTGATACCAGCTTACATACATCTAGTTTCGTCATATGAAGCACATTCCTGCAAAGCGGCCCAAAAACAACAAAAAGGGTTAGCGCATGCCTTTCGAAGTATGGTATTCTCGTGGCGTAAGGTCACGCCAGATGTTTGTATCAACCACAGTGATCACACTAGCAATTGCATCAACAATCACCTTTCCTACTTAAAGAAATAGCTTCTGAATTTTCATGCCACCAAGTAGCATCACCCAGGAAGCATGCGGTCACCTGGAGTGCCACACGGAAGTTCAAAACCCCGGGGCCGATTTCTCAAACCTTCCCCCAAAGGGAGCATCTCAAAACATTGGGTTGCTGTTATGGAACTTAAATTAGGTTACCATATTATTAGTATATGATAATTAATATGGTTTGCCCCATATAGCAGTCACTCAAATTAAATGCCTTAGCAGCAACCCAGAACGACACCATGCAGTCTGAGGCTCTAAGGCATGGGGGCATCACAGCTCATTGTCTAGCTACTACCACGACATCTGCCGATCTCGCTGCTACCACTACCGCCACCAAGTCATCACATTCCCTGAGCCCTAAACTCCAAGCCCTGAGCGCAAAACCCAAGACCCTAACCCCTAAACCCTAATTCCCTGCTGCAGCTCACATGGGGGCACCTTTTTGATCTGGGCAGCATGCGTCCATCGAGATTCTAGGAGAGATCCTGAGACCCATCCTCAAAGCATTGACGAAGCTTCGGCATCATTGGCAAACTTTGCTTGCACAGGTAAAAGAAGGAGAAGAACAAAGGAGATCACCTGGCGTCTCCACCACCTCCCCCCAATCTGTGGGGGGCGTCTGAGCCCAAGGCCGAGCATCAGCACCAGCAAGACATCCACTGGGCGGGTTGGGTGGGGCTGGCCTGCGTTAGGTGCCGATGTCGAAGGTAAGGCAGCGGGTCCATTTGTCAGCAGCGGTGGTTGCAAGGGCTCCGTAGGAACAATCATGTCCAGCTGGACATAGAGCCACTGGGCTATGCCCTCTTCAACCTCAGCAGCAGCCATCATGGCTTGAGTCCAAACCTCCTTGAAGACATGCACGATCAGAGACAGCACCGCACGTGTGACAAGACGTATCACAAGTGCTATCACTAGCGCCACTATCCGAGGGAACAGCACGGCCACCATCACCAAGATGATCATCCACCATTTCCAACGCGAGGGAAGCCAGGACCGCCATTGTGGACCTGCAGGAGGAACTTCAGCTCCGAGTTGCCCACGAAGCGGCCTGGGCCGTACGGGCACTGGCACCTGCTGCTCAGTGCTAGAGCTGCGTGTTGGGCCCCCTACCCAACCTTTAAGGTTCTGCGCCATCCTGCAGAGCATTGATGTCATCCTCCGAGTGGCGTTACCGGTCCTCCACCGAGCTGCTTGAGCGACTCCAGCAGGGTCCCCAAGGACCTGTGCAGCACTGCGACCATCTTTGTCAACTGGCTCCTCACCCAAGGCAGCGCCGCACCCTTCACGGCTTCCATCACGTTCGACGCAGCCTCCACCTGCACCTCCCCTACATAGGGAGATTCGGCATGGCTACGTTCGGGTAACTGGCGTGCCACAGGTCTTCGGCTTGAAGACGGTCTTGAACGCGTCGAAGGCGTGCCCGAGATCCGGATAACTGGCCTCCTGGAAGTTGCTTCTCTATCCGCCTCCATGTAGTAGAGGCAGGCCCAACTGCGTACCCGATGAAGTGAGGCTTGTCCGGGCACTCCAGTATACAACGTAGTGGCGGAGGTCCTGATGATAGCTCACCGTTGAGGTGCGGAAGCCTTTGTTGCCGCCCCACCCTTTTGGTCCACTTTCGCACCAGAAAAAGCCCTGTCCACCTTTGACTTGCCCACCTCTGGAACGAGTCCACTCGGCCCTGAAGACGGCTTCTCCCTGTCAGGAGGCTTGTTGCTGCCAGCTGCGACTGACGACGATGAACCACCCACTTCCGAAAGCACTTCCCAGCGGTCGCTCTCGTCTTCCTCGAGAGCAGCAGCCAGTTCACGAAGGGCACGGCTAAGGCGACTAGACATCAGGAGCTAGCTCAGGAGAACTTGACGCGGCCGGCGCGGAGGTTGCTTCAAAAGATGCACACTCTGAAAGCACAAACTCAGCAAGTCACGGCTGGCTGCGGGCGCATGCGCCAAAGTGTGTACTGCCAAGGCCTCCTGGAGGTAATGACGTAAAGTTTCAGGGCGTCTCCAACGACCTGCAAATTGAAGTGTCCCCAAGTTCTGCTCTACCCGGAACAGATGGCAGGCCCCACCACCTCGTAAAGAGCCCAAGGTCAGGCCACAGTTCTCCAGCTGCAAAGACTCCATCACCTCCCGAAAGAGTAAACTCCATTTACGACGGCTGACCTGCAGGAAGTAAGCGTTGGGCCGCTGCCCAACACACCACCATTTCAACCACCTGATCAGACACTGGTCGCGGATGATGACAAACTGATTCGCCCAAACCCTCCTAGTCTTGGCTTGACGGATATTGAGGATCAAGCCAATGCCTTCAGAAAGCTCGACGTCCTCCGGAAAGCAGAAATCCTTAATGATCAGGCGCTCGATTTCGCCAGGCCTGAGCATCCCGACAAAGGCCAGCCATGCGGCCAGCATCGTGGCCATCCACTCGGCCCGCAATGGCACCTCCGTCGCGTTCACTCGCCCCAAACAAGCCACAAGGAAACACCTCAAGACATAGTACGTCATGGGAACCCTCGGTCGGATTGGTTGCAATAGCCTCCACGACTTTATGGCTGCCCAAGTGGATCGTAGCAAGGGAGCCGACAGCTTGTACAGGCGCTGCACACTAAGGACCCCAAGAGTGATCCAATAGAGTTTTTCCCCATGATCATGGCCCCATTCAACGACCCTCTCCAAAGACTGGTCAACTCGCCTTGAGGAGCTTTTGGGACCCAACTGGCCGCCAAGCTCCGCAGCTTTCCCCAGTATCCACTGGCCAGCCTCACGCAAGTGCCGGCGATACTGGGGAGTCAACGTCTGATCATGGAGTCGGCCTCCCCGACGCCCACGCGAAGCAGGCATCAGCAAGAGCTCGGGCAAATCCCCAAGGGTAGGCACCAGCAGTCTTAGCTCGAGCCCCCCTCAACGGTGGGCCATGCACATGGTCTTTAGGGCACTGCTTCAGCACTGAGGACACCCAGGGAGCATTGGTCAGCAACGAAGTGGGTTTCTGATTCGGGAGCCCTGGATTGCTAGCACCCTCATACGCACACATGTCCACACGCAGCAGTCGGCAACCCTGACAACTTTGCATTCGGTGTGTCTGTCTGAGGGCCCAGGCCCTCGACCCGCGAGGGTGTTCGAGAATGAAGAACCCGTCCTGTTCAGCCACCAGCTTCGCCAGTCTAAGGGCCCGGTTCCATAAACGGTTCCCCAAGCGAACCTCCAGGTTGTTGTTGTCGCCTTCTGGGAGCCCAATCGGCCTTAAAGGTCCACCCTTGTCTAGATTACGCAGCGGCGAAAAAGAACTGCAAGGCGGAGCTAGCCATAACCAGCGCACCTGCCGAGTACGGATGAGCCAGTCCAGCCTGGTTTAGGGTTTTTAGTTTTTAGGTTCAGGCGTGTGGGGGGCTCAGAAGACCACATACACATTGGCTAGAATCCAAACTCCTCAAAGGGGGGTTTAGGTAGTAAATACGGGATTCTATAGGGGATTCTATAGGGGATTGCATGGGGGACTGTTTTAGGGGTTACTAAGGAGGATAACTCACATGAGGATCCCCAAGGCATGTGTAGGGTGTAGGGGAGTCCAAAGCGTCGTCGCCCCATAGTTGATCAACCGGGTCAAGCATGCTGAGCCCGGCCTCCAAGTGAGCCAGGGTAATGCGAGCCGATCCCGCAAACACCTCCAGTCCATGGAAAATGCTCACCCCAAGGACGCCATACTCCTGTAGCCAACCTGGAGGAGACCGCGGGGGAGGAAGAGGCCGAAAGCGTGATGGATGATCGGCATAGTTGGACTCGGTTTCAACCCAGAGCAACGCCAATGACACATCCCCCAGGATCAGGTAAGGCAGCAGCCCTCGCAAAATGTTGTTGAGCTTCAAAGAAGAGGAGCGACCCTTTGCAAAAGCGTATACACAAACCAAAGAATCATTGAAGCAAACTTGAACCTGGCCACCACACTCGAACTTCGAAGCCATTCTACAAATCTCACGCCGCAATGCACGTGCCTCCTGCAAGTTGATATGGCTCGTCTCCCTGAAGGTGTACCTGGCTACTTCTGCCCAAGGTAGACACTCCGCACAGGTGCTAGCGAATTGAGAGGCCTCCGCAGGGATCTCCTTTCCAAAGTCAACCTCCGCACGGTCGGGTCGAACAGGAGCACCTCGGATCTCAGATCGCCGCCATAATTCTTCCACTAGTCTTTCCGGAGCTTCAGCCCTGACTGCACCTCCACTGGCGGGGGTCGCGTCAGTTGCCAGGATTGATGTGCCCAACCTGCGTCGCATGTTCCACTGGGCGACAGCAAGATGCAAGCTCAAGCTACGTAATTCGTCCACCACAAAGCCAGGGAGACGGACCCATTTGGCGGCGTGCGTCCCACTCACATAGTTGTAAATCCGATGTTGCAAACAAAAGAGCTCTCGCCTGAATTGAAAGGCAAACGCTAAAAAGCCGTTGATCTTCTGGAGAACCGCCTTCGAGGCCCAACCCTGAGCAACCACAATGGATATCAGGTACCACACTTGCCGACGCACTTCTCTAGGGGCCCCTACCCGACCTTGAATACCATTCACCTCGCCGCCCCAAGCCTTGAACTGGGTCTCTGCTCAGAACGATTTGTGCAAAGCTCGCTCTAGGTCTGCCTTCTCATACGCACCCTCAGCTGCCTTCGTGAGCAGGATGTCCGCATCATCTCCCTGAGCAGGGGGAGGCACGAAGGAACCATCAAGCGGCATGGGGTACTCAAGGGTCTGGCGCGAAGCAATGAGCAAGTCGTCGAAGTACACACCTTGCCACAGATCACCCGCAGGAACAGTCCGGCCATAAGCAAGTGTCTCCTGAGGATCCAGCAGGCCCACCGATTTGAGGATAGCCTCGTGCGTGGCTTGGGCGATTGCACATCCATTGCGGTCTCCCATCCCCAACACTCGGAAGCACAGGCGATGAGGCACAGCAGGATCAAGACCGTGCATGGCCACCACATCCGTAGCAACCCTTCGCCCTACCGAGTTAAAACGCACCCAATTAGGAGGCAGCCTCAACATATAATAAAAGTTTCTCAAATCATCCCCTGAGGCACGGAGGTATTGACAAGGCCCCAACAGCATACGCGTGAAGCAGGCAGCCGAAGGTAAAGCAGCCCATTCCAGCCTCGGCATGGTCGCGTTCTCGGGGCGCCGGTCGAAGATAAGGCGATCCTCTGTGGCGTTCTTTTCTACACAGAAGAGCCCCCCCTGCATCAAACCGCCATGTTGGTTACGTGGAAGCTCACCCTCTGGAACCAGAACTGCCATGTCCGTTGCCAACAACTTCTGGGCTAACTCTGCCTCATCGCCCTCTGGGACGCGGTGACATGCATGACAAATCTCCTCCCAAAGGTGCGGCTCCCTCCTCAAGCTCTCTAGGCCTGCTACCACCTCCGCCTGCTCGTCCGGCAACCACTGCAAAGGATCAACCCTTCCTGCCTTCTCAGGCACAGCCACACGTGTGGCCGTGACCGGCAATGCCGTTGAAGAAGAAGAAGCCTGAACAGGATCTACATAACCTGCAGCCGCAAATGAACCGACCTGCTCCATAAGAGCCTCCACTGTTGCTCGCCTCCCTGCACATTTCAAGCGACCAGTGATTAAGTCAGCACTCGCGAATTCGATGGCCTCACCCAGCAACCTATCAGCAAAGCTCCGAGCCTCGCATGCCGAACGATATGCTGCTTGTGGCTCACATGCACCATCCGGACACCCCAGCACCACAAAATTCGACCAAGCAATGAAGGTGTTCAACAACTGCTTAGCCCAAACCTGCCGTGCCTCAGTCTCATCAACCGCTGTCTTGATCCGCAAGACTTCGGGACACGGAAGGGCACATGGAAATAGCCTAACATCATCGCCAGACCGTTCCAGCAAAATACCTTGGACACTTTCGAACCAGATCAAGTACCGAGAAAATTTTGTTGAATTCCGACTCTCCAGCATAGGGTGCCTAAGGCAGCAATTCGAGGAGAACCAGTCATGCAGCTTTGCGGGAGATGTCATTTGCGCGCCGCGGCGGCGACCTCCTCGTCGTCGCCGTCTCCGTGACCCTGGGCATCCTTTACCCGCTTCTTGAGCCTGGCCATCGCCTCCACATAGCCCGATATAACGGCCATCTCTTCCTTGGTCCCTGAGAAGTCGCGCTTCTGCAGTGGATCCGGCAGGCCCGTTAGAAGCCATGCCGTCTCCCAATCGCCATTGGCCAGCACAGCCTGCACCTTGCTCTTGAGGTTTTGAATCAGCTGGGCCAGGGCCACCTCTGACTTGCCAGCCCTCAACTGCTCGTACACTGCCACATCCATCATGGCTGTCCGGAACAGTCCTTTGAACCGACCCCAGCTTTGCTTCTTCACCCAGTCGCGCATGGTCCAGGCTTGCCCCGACACAATCCCGAGCGGCTTCGAAAATCTCCCGAACCCGGCGGGGCTTCCGAAGGATCTGCTCGTGCAAGCGATGGAGCGAAGAAACTGCCTTCATGCCCTTTCCGTCGCTTGCCTCTCGATCGCTGGCCGAGGACTCGGAGCTTGACCCACCAAGGAGCTCTGTTGAAGATGCCGATCGCTTCTTCTTCTTCTTGGCGTTCTGCTGTCCTATCAGCTGATTCAACAGGTACAATGTGAGAAGGTCTTTGGGCTCGGTTCCCGATGATACCCCCGCAGCAAGCAGTGTCTGAAGGTCCAGGCCGTCTTTCTTCAGGCTCTTCCGCGTCTTCGACTTCACTAGGGTTTTCTGGCCAGGAGGCAGAATGCCCACGTCCCCGTCGTCGTCCTCGCTTTCTTCTTCCTCGTCGTCGTCGGAGGCGCCTGCGCGCATCAGCTTCTCCAGTCCTTTCAAATCTTGGGCCAGGCGGGCCGATTTCTTGGCCGGCTTGCTTGAAACATTGGGCTCCAACTCGGCATCGCTGCTCAGAAGTTGCGTGGTGGGTGCTTTCTTCCATGCCGCCCGACAGGCCCCCAAAGAAGGAATGTCCCCAGCACGCAATCCGGTCCAGCCACTAGGCTTAGAACAGCTAACAGCTTCTCCAGGAATCCGCAAAAAGGCTATGGTAGTTTCTCCCGCCTTCGCTGTGACCTTGTGCTCTATGCCAGCGGCTCCAGCTTCTGAAGTGCCACAAATGACGTCAGAATCAGCAAGCTCCACTGCCCAAGCCGTCACACAAATAGGCCCATCGTCGCCATGAACCCTGCAAAACACTAGATCGCCGACATCTAAAGCCATCTCCTTTAAAGCTTGAGAGGGGTGACCCCAAGGTGCCGGCATTCTCGCATGCCCAGTCTGCACACTTCACCTGCCGGATGCTTTGCATGGAATAGCCCTTTCAACCCTAAAACCCTAAAACCCTAAGCCCTAAGCCTGAAACCCTCAACCCTAAACCCTAAACCCTAAGCCCTAAAACCTGAACCCCACGAGGCCACCTCCCAAGCATTTCCCTCATAGTCGGTGAAGAGACCGCTGCCCCCTCCAAAGGCGCGGAAAGCCCGCTCGATGTCGACGGCATTGTCCTCTGGTTAGGGACAGGCTCTCACAGATTAGGGTGTATGGTTTAGGGGTTCAGGCTCTGGGGTTTAGGATTTAAGCTTTGGGCCTGTCAAGGCATACCAAACATGTCTTTTGCTAAGGCCAAGTCGGAGCCTCTCAGTGTCCGCCCAATAGCGAATGGCAAGAATACAGGTTTAAAAGTTTTTCCATCAAAAAATGATTTCCGCTGTATGGTGAATTTAGTGCGACATTAAATCGATCCTGTAAGGAGAGACAAGACAATGCTCTTTTGCATGCATGCGTTTTGGCAATTCCAAACCCCAAAATAGAGGCCGTGTAAGAGCAGGTTTAGGGTTTGGGTGTTAGGATTCAGGGTCTCTTTTTCAGGGTTTAAGGTGCAGGGTATCACACTTCTCAAGAATGCCCTATCCCACACGGTGTAGGGTTCATATGATCCGAAGTTGGACATGAGGTTGTTTGGATTTTCGGTTGAAAGGATTTCCAGCGATTTTGACATCCAACCATGTGTAATCTCTAATCGGCTATACAAACAGGCATGGCCACCGGCCTCATCCCATTCGATGCGAACTCTTGCAAGAACGCCTGGCTTCCAAGATCTTCGAAATTTGGGATATTACTGCCATAGTGGAAAATCAAATGGGAAAGAAGAAAGACAAATAGATTGTAAGTGGTTTTGTGCGAGAACTGGTTAATTGGGATTAGGGTTTGCGCCAGGAACTGGGGCCCCTCTTTGAGGTTCCTACACAAAGGGTTATAGTGTATTGCCGTCCGTTACACTGGGGCCGCCTCTTCGTGGTCGCCCCACCTTCCCCAATTTGGCCATACATGGTATCAACCAAAGGCTCTATGTTGTAGAGAGCAAACTTGCGGCTCAGATTATGCATCTTCACATAGGGTTTAGTGGTGAAGGGTTTTTTAGCCCTTCGGACACTTGTGATGTCTGCGGCGAGCGCGAATGGTTTAGAGTTTGAGTTTCCTGAATATTGGAAGACAGATTTCTCAGCTGCGAGATGCTGTCATTCCAACTGTTGCCGCTTTAGGGTTTAGGGTTTAGGGTTGTGGCTCTTGACCGATCCGTTGTACTGAAACCTCACCTGGGTTGGTTGGAAATTTAGGGCACGACTTGGAAGATCTCAAGCTGGGTGCTCCCAAGCACCCCCTCTACTACCCGCTCCTGGCTTCCCCTTAACTAGATCGAACTATCCCTGAATAGCCCTAGTCAAGGGGGAACCTAGGGGGTGAGTATAGAGGAGGGTGGTAAGGGAACCCATAAACATAGCACAGCGACCAGCGCAACAGGCACCTGATTCATGACAATGATTGACATGTTTTACAGTGTTTTACGGCTTGCCCTAAAAAACCAACAAGACCTAAACCTAAAACCCTGAACCTTTGGTTTGGGGAGCCATGGCTTTGAGGAAAACACCCAGACGGCAGTCAGGTTAAAAGGGGCGTGTTCTGCGCGCAGCGGAGAGAATTCCGACATGGTAACGCAACGTCCTTACGGTATTGATGCATTATACAGTAAAGGGAGTAGAACGGCGACCCCAAACAGGGAACCCCAAGAATATGAGGATTAGAATAGGAATATGAAGGACCCTCTGGTATATTCTAGAAAAGCATGTCTTTAGCACCGCCCTTGCCTTTCTAACGTGTGAATGAATTGACACGTGCGCATCTCCACTCGGAAGCTTCACGTGCCGAAAGATACTCAAATTACGGTTCGGGACGACAGCCCAAATCCTCCATCGATAGATTGTCCCGTGACGCAGCCCTGTCCAAGCTAGCCACCTGCATTGGATTTTGCCGTCTCACCAGTTGCCGCATGATGTTCGCACTCCAACCTTGTTCTTGCCAATTTGTTTCAGAAGTAAAGGTACTATGGAGTTCTGCAACTTTAAAAACCCTAACCCACACCCCCGATTAATAAACCCCTCCCCTTAATAGGGATTATTAGGGATCCTAACATTGAGGCCTTTAAAAGGAGGGGCTTGTTAATCATAGGTCTACATTAGTAAGGTAACTGACAGTAGATGTAGGTTGCATTTTCAACTGAAGCATGGGATGTGGGGTTTGAGGGTAGGAGGCTTTTCTTGCAACCCCGTGTAGACTGTTCTGCCTAGCCGAAGCTCACGGGCCCTTAGCCCTGTACAAAGCCCCGACCATCTCTCAGTTCTCATCCATGCGGATGTAGAGGGTTTAGGGGGTTCAGGGCTTCGGGTTTAGCTGGTACTGTAGGGGCCGGTGAAGCAAGCTCAGTGTTTGCGAGGGCTTTTCACCCCGGAATCGCTTGCAATCTAAGGATCATATAGGGGGTGGAAAAGGGTCATATGGAGATTCTATAGGGTTATATAGGGACTATATAATACAATGCTTCGTGGCTTGGGAACAACTTGATGACTTGTAAAGTGCTTTCTAGCGAGAGGGGAGGAAATCTATGATGGATTCACGAGTGAGGTTTACTCCAAAATCTCATAGCCCTCAATAGCCACCTTACTTTCCACCATAAACAACACAGCTTTCTTCTGACCCAAAGCTGCCAAGTTCCGTGTCTGTGGTAAACGCCAGTAAGATACAGTTCTTGAAAGGATACAAAGAAATTCTCCCGAACATGAAATCCTGGTTCTTGCTACTATACGGTTCTCTTCTTCTGAACTCACAAACCTCGAGAGCTCTCAAGCAAATTACCCCTTCCGAATCCTTCAGCACATTCTGGGTACAACGACTGCGCCCCCTTTTTTGGTGGGGAGGTAGTTACAGCGAATATTGCTCAATCTCTATGCCATCTGCACCTATGGAATCGCTGTAAAACTCTGGATATTGTGTGCAGAAGGTGGATCGCAATTCGGAGAATAACAGCCTGGGTATCTGAGTTTCCGACTTGACTGCAAACGAATGTGGAAGAGCCGTGCGCGGGCTCGGTGGTGGAACCTGTTCTTGGTGCGGGGGAGGCACGGCGAAGAATCTGAACGGCGTGTAGCGGTTCGAGGTTTAGGGTTAGGGCTTCAGGAGAAATAATCTTTTGCCCATTCTCCCAGGCAACCCTAAATCATAAAAACACAGAAGATGAACCTTCCTTGGAAGAAGATTACAGGAGTCGTGCCCTGGCTCCTCTCGCCACCATTCTAGCGCCATTCAGACAAGTCTTTCTACGTCACTTCCCGAGGACGACATGGGCCCGGTCGCACTTGCAATGCAAGAACATGTGAGCTATATATATATATATATATAGTCTTAACTCCTGGTATCCCCCTTAATAACCCATATAACACCCTAAAGGAATTGAAATTCTAGGTCATGCGGGAATAAGCTATCAAGAAGGCAAGACCTGCCCGCCTTCTTGTGGGTGTCGGGGAGTGTTTCTATGGCCTCCTCCACCAGGCTGAGCATGCACAGCGAAGAGGCATTCAGCAGATCTTGGGTGGTGGCCGCCTCTGCGATGCGGATAGGGGCACTTTGTGCAAGAATGCCAAAGGGATCGTCAATGACCTCAGTGAGGCGATGAAGAGTCACCCCCATGTCTGTCTCGCCACGGAGTATGACAGCCTGGGTTGCTGTTAAGGAGCTTAAATTGAGTTACTATATTGGGGAAACCCTAGTATTTACTATATGTACCCATTATGGTAACTTAACTTAAGTTTCTTAACAGCAACCCAGCAGCCTGAAATGGCATGCCGCCGCGGTAGCTTGGGAGCGCTGAGGGGTGGAGGTTCCACGCCGCTGTCGTTGGGATGGCAACGACGTGTTTGGGAAGGACATAGAAGCCTGGGATTACACAGGGGTTACATGGGGTTATAGTGAAGTTCTATTGGGATAATGGAAAAGGAAATGGAAACTACCATATTATATGCATAGAAGCCAGCGGTGAGCAAAATGTCTGGTTTCTGCATTTCAAGCTCACTGTAGGCCTTCTCCACGGCCTGCCGGTAAACTGCGTCCTGCTTGCAGATGGTGGCAAACCGCCACGTGTCCGAGCACAAAGGAAATGCCCGGACAGGAATGCCTGCCTCAAGGCAAAAGTCTTGCACACTCTGTGTGGGGGTCACCACCAGCAAGTCATGCTTCTCCTTGGCTTCCCATAACACTCCCACTTGAACTTTAATTTTGACTCTTTTAATCACTACTCATCAGGATCCCAGACATCTGAAAGTGTTATGAGCCATGCAAGTCAAAAACAAGTCTCTGCTAAAGGAGTGAGAGCCCTGACAAACTCCAGCTTGTTCGACAGCAGCGAGATGCGGAGTCGGCAGCTGCTTTTGCACCCACTCTCAATGCTGTCCTCCAAGGAGTAAGATGGAAGTACGGAAGTACAGTTGATTTTAGAAACTACCTCCGTTGGGATTGCTTCAAACAGGGGGGCCCTAAAACCCTGAGGATTAGGGATTATAGGGGATCATAAGGGCTTCCTTTTTAGGCATTCTGTAGGGCCCTAGACCCTGCATTCTAAACCGATTGGCTCAACCTCTAAACCGCTTCGCCTTTACAATCGGAAGCCGGGGCTTGGACTACACTCGGCAAACTTATTGGCTTCCCCCAGCTTTAAAGGTATCCCTACGATCTACCAGTACATACTGCCTCATACTGTTGGACATGTTCAATGTCAGAGATTGATGTTGTATCAGGGAAAGCGACTAACGTCCTTATGAGTGCTGGCGCTGGGCACTGGATCAACAACAGGAGGTGGAGGCCAGAAACTCAAACTCTCAACCCAAGACTCCAAACCCTCAACCCTAAACCCTCCACCCTCGATCCCTCAAGACCTCAAACTACCACAGTATATTCTCAACTCCAAATCTAAGAACTGAACCTTCATGAAGGCTAGGTGTTTCAAAAGTCGGCCTCCTGCATGTTTCGGAAAAGACGCTTGTGCCTCGCAGCCATCCTCGGCGGGATTTATGGGGTTTAGAGCGTAGGGTTTTCAGGGTTTAGGGTTTAGGGTTTCGGGTTTAGGGCTCAGGGTTCAGGGTTTAGGGTTTAGGATGTAGGGTTTACAGTTCAGGGTTTAGGGGTAATGGAAAAGAAAATGGAAACTACTACGAATTATTCAGGATTCAGGGCTCTATAGGGGTAATCAAAAAGGAATACCAATTTTGGGTTTAGGGTTTACTGCTTTTGGGTCTTGTATTTTTAGGCGTTGGGGCTTTGGAGTTTAGAGGTTCTGGAGATCTTAAGACGTCAGGGTTTAAGCATTCAGGGTTTGAGGGTTCGAATTCTGTGGTACGAAGTTCAGGGTTTTTTGTTTTGGCTTTAGGGTTCGAGGCTTGCGGGTTGAGGGATTTGGGGAGAAGTTCAGGGACGAAAGTTTAGGCGTTTGGCTCTTAGCGGTAACAGTTGAAGTTAAGAGCTTCTCCCAAACAAAATTTCCTGCGCTGTTGAGTTGAGGCAGAGGATATGAAACAAGTTTGTGCGTATGCGTATATGCAAGTACCAAACTAGGCTTCAGGCTAGTACAAGGAGTAGTGCAATATTACCTGCAGCACAACATGCCGAAACATGCACTAGAAAAAACTCAACTAGCCACTCGGTTCAAAGTTTAAGGTTTAGGGGCACTATAGAGGCCACACTGCAGACCCTGAACAGCCCATGAACATGGTGATCTTCTAATGGGGGATAGAACCTCCCCTTTGCAGAGGACACCTTCTCTTGGGGAACATTCTCTCGAGACGGAAGACGGTCTCCAGGGCTTCGAAAACGAGAACTTCATAAAATCACACCTTCGGAAGTCTGAACAAGAACTTGAACTCCCATCCGCCTGAAATTCCTCACACACAAAATCCCTTGGGATGTTGTTTTTGAGAAGCCTCCCATAAAAATCACAAACCCTGAAGCTGGGGTAGTGCCCCCACACAGCAAAAGCTTGGCGATGATTATGTCATAAGAGTCATAAGTACATATAACCCTGGGAAGTGTTAGCCCTATTGCAGACTCTTGCTTGGTGGGACCTAAACCCCCAATTTTGTCTAGAATTCCAACATACTGAAATCATAAACCCTTAAACTCAAAAACAAAACCCTAAACCCTAAACCCACCTTAAAAAAAGCTAGAGTCAAGGAGGCCCCAGCCAGGGATGACAGGCAAACAGCAGCCACCCAGGCCTGGGGGCTTTGGGTTTAGGTTTGAAGTGTTCAAGGTTAGGGTTTAGGGTTTAGGGCTTAGAGCTTTAGGGCTGAGGACCTAGGGTTGGGTTGAGGGTTGAGCAGGGTTTAGAGCTTCGGATTGAGCGCACGGGCGGGGTTCTAACAGTTGAGGGCATTGAGGACTACCTAGTTTTGCAGACAACTCCCATACGACACCCCAGGCTTCCCGCTTGATTGAAGTAATGTAGGGACATTCACGGATGATTAGGGCCTGCCAAGGCTGATTTAGATGGACTTGTTGAGGGGGATGTCCCTAAACCCTAAACCCTAAACCCTAGACCCTAAAACCAAAACCTAAATCTCCCGCCTGCGCCTCACCAGCCATCAAAGGCAGAGCCACATAGCCAGCCACAGACCTTGTCATGCGAGATCTTCTTCCAGGCCCCAGTTTCCTGCTGTTATTTCTATTACTACTAAGATTACTAGTACTATGACTATTAGTATTATCACTACTCTTATTATTCTTATTACCACCATTATGCTCCTGGTACCCTTCATTGGGATCAAAAGGCCCCTTTTCGCAGGTAGCTAGGCCTGAAGAGAGGGTAGTTGGAGGAAAGTTCAAAGTCAGTTTATCGTTGCATCCGCCAAAGGCCACATGGAGGCATAACAAAACAACCTCGCTCGCTGTTCTTGCTCAGCAGATAATGCATCCCCTGCCCCATTGACATAAATCCCCACCTCGATTGATCTATCTCCATTCTGGGTGGCCCCTGAATACAAATGACGAAAATAGTGGTTTGAAGTAGCATGAGTATGAACATGATTATTAAGATTCTTGGAAGTAGTAGGAGGAGGAGGACAAGCAGCACTGCAGGAGGAGTAGAAAGAGTAGAAGCAGTACTCAAGACGAAGGGTTTGAGGAAAGCAGCTCTGAACATCTATCCCTACAAACAATCGGGATTTTATACATGTGGGTGTAGTTATAGTTGTGTTCCGGCCGCCGGATCTTGTAGATGCAGGGGTAGTTCTTAATGTGAAGTCAACATCAAATATTATCCAACTGTTACACAGCGGGGGCAATATTAAGCTGTGGAATGCCATCAAGACGCCCCACGCTCCTCATGGCTGCCATCATCGCGAAGGCACTGCTGGAGCAGTGCGGATATCGATGTGAGACAAGAGTGGTGTTTCCAATCCTGTCCGGGTGCAAGGTTTCATGTTGAGGGTTTCTATTTGGTGGTCTCTTTATTTCTCAACAAACACATAAGAAGAGTTTACTGACATTGTTCCCTTTCCTCAGAGACCGCATTTAAAGGGGCCGCCGGTCTTTATGCTTTTGGAGGCCTGACAAATTGAATCTGAAATCCCAGATGTGAGCACACAGAAACAAGCTGCAGTTTCTTCTAGGGCCCGTCAGAATTGATGAGAAGGTATGCGTACTCCTGCTGCCTTCGGGAATTAAAACGGCCGGCATCCAGCAGGGAACGCGCTTCACCCCAAACAACAAGGACTCAGTGTCTGGAACTCGGGCACTCGGGATTCTAGCTGGTATTCAAAAACAATGAACAATATAGCACGGTTAGATGTTAAAGGAATATTCACTATCAAGGAATGGGGAGTTTATGAGGGAGAGGGGATCGATTGAGACAAGTCACCTTGCCAAAATGACTCCGAAACCGAGGAGAAACGATGCAGCACATCCGCAAAGAGCAGTGAGGATCACGGATTGCTTCACCAAACGGAAGTAAACGCTGTCGCCAATGAAGCTGACTGCTAACATCAGCATCACCGCTTGTAAAATGAGCACAAAGCGCCGCCCGAGACACTGTGCCAGCGGAGCATACACAAGCGCAGCCAGGACGTGCCCAAGTCCAGTAAACAACATGACGAACTGCAAGTGCTCCTGGAACGAGATGTCTGCAGACTCACAGGGGCCCCAACAAGCCAGCAAAGGGAAGACGGTGGACCCAAGCGCATTCAAGCACAAGCCCTCGCAGAAGGCTAGGGCGCACAAGTGCTGCGCACTTCGGTCCTGCAAGAGCTTGATGCCAAGACCCTGCTCCTCTTCGGAACCTTCCAAGACTGTCTTGCCAGTCGCCACTGCACTCACTTCCGGCAATGGGAGGCAGGAAAGGAAGAGGACTCCCAAGCCTGCGAATCCACACAAGGTGGCTAAAGCCAGTCCACTGCTCGCAACCTTCGTAACAAGGCTCACAACTGCTGGCCCGAGAAAGGCACTTGAGAAGAAGACCAAGGAGAAGATGGACGCGTACCAGTTCAGCAGCGGCGCTGGAGCATAGTCTGTCAGGATCTTACCCTGCGAAGGCCAGAGCATGCCGAAAGCAAGTCCTGCCAGGAAGGGTCTGGTAGCTACTGCCGCGGCTGACGTCCATCCATGCATGACATAGCCTCTGCGGCCTAGGACCTCACGCGTTTCAAATATGAGCCCCCGGTCCTGTCACCAGCGTTACGAACCAAATGGTAACCTGCCAGGTAGTACCAAGGCCATTTTCGAGGAACATCAGCTGCACAACCTTGAAAAAGCAAGGTCAAGAGCCCCGGGCAACTTCAAAGTGGTGATAGCAGGGAAATGTGGAGTTCAGGGTCGAGGGGCCTGAATAATTAATAGAATACCCCATCAAATAGAAAAATGAATTCAAATTCCGAAGCTTCAAGAAAAGATGTCATCTTCCGCAAAACACTGAGACCCTCAGTAGAAACAAACCACAAACGCAAACAAACAGAATCGTCCAAACGGTCTTCATCACGCCACCGTAACACCACATCTGTTTCTGACCGACAGGAAGGGGATAGCTTGACCTAGACCTCCTCTGCCAAAATACCCTTTCTTCCATTGATATCTAGCTGCATCTGTTTTCTTTCATGGCCCTGTCTATGGTCAGGGCTTATGATTGACTTTAGAAGGTGCTGCTTCGGGCATAAAAAAATGCCCATGTCATGTGAACTATAGGTCAAACTTTTGTATCCCCCTTAATAACCTCTATAGTAATCCCCTATATAATGCCATATATAACCCCCTTTGAGGAGTTAAGACTAAAGCTCATGTGTATGATGGAGCCTTATGTTGTTTGCTCCACCAAAAAAGACGAGAGCAACCTCAGGGACTTTGTTTATTGAGGTAATAATGGGGATACGGGAAAAATGGAAACTACTTTTTAGTATATTGGGGTTATATTCGGAATAATGTAGAATAAAATGGAAACTACTATTTAGGGTTTAGGGTTCGCCCAATGTCTAGGCCAGAGGTTTTCCGAACGCCCAGGTCTGATGAAGCGCGTCAAGTTTGGCTCAGCTTGGAAGTTTGCGGGAGCGGGGTGTGGGGGGGGATAATTGCGTTCGCTTCACCTACAGCCATCTTAACTTGTAAAATGCAGCATTTCGGGAACCCTGATGAAAAAAAAGAAACGCATTCGCGTTTCATGTTCGAGAGCGTCTGATAACCGGAGCATCCATGACCAAACCATCGAAATATTCATCTTCCAGAGTATCCCCTTACCAGAACATCCATGCCCACACCATAATAACTTTCATGTTCGACAGCAGCCCCTTACCAGAGCATCCATGCCCCAGCCGGAATAATGTTCGTATTGCAGGTGCGTCCGAGTACCAGAAACATAGCACCCAGCGGGACGAACTCTATGTCCGCTTCAGAACCCTGATGCAAAAACACCGCGCCCAGTAGAACAAAATTCACCTCATGTACAACTTCTGATCATGTGTGCACAGACAAACTACCACCGCTCTACTGTGTCTGCCACACGCTCTTTCACCTGTAGACCGCAGTACTTTTGCACAGGGACAAATTCACTAACGCCATCGTGCGAAGTGCGTGTGCAATACCTTGCAAGAACCTAGGCTTTTAGCACATTTACACATGAGAAATATGTTCCAGCCTCATGTCAGGTCGAAGTGCGCGGCATTTTGAAACAAAAACCTGCGCAATCGCAACCGCAACTAGTACAGCTGAGAAATCCGGCCATGCAGAATCTCTTGCGAAAGGCAATACTTCCTTAACCTTTACCCACTAGCCCTGTTGCTGCCCAAAAGAACTCCCGGAGAACCTCTACCAGAGCACGTTAGGGTTTTGCTGGAGGCTTGGCATATCTTGGCATTTAAACGGCATGTAAAAGCCTTGCAAAAAACTGCTCCCGTCACCCTTTCCAAGAGAGTTGCGTATGCCTCGATCTACAATTGCCTTCCTCTATGCAACCGGGGTATACACTGGATAATGGACCCTTCATTTATGGAAACCCACTGAACACTAAACCCAAAGCCGCGTGTAGAGCTTTCCCAAAGCCTAAACCCTAAACCCTTAATCATGTGCCGCTGGAGATGCCACGTAGATACTTCCTGCTAAAGCTCCAACCAGCAACCTAAGTCGGGCTTAGAGTTTAGGGTTTAAGGGTGGGTCCTGCCCCCACCCGTTATCCAGCTGCTAATGAGCGGTGGCAGTAAACAAATCATAAAAGCTAAAACTTGAAGGTTAGGGTTTCGGATTCAGTTTATTTGGTCCGGTTATAGTTGTTACGCTATAAGATATTAGGAAATTGGGTTCTGGTTGATAGTCTGACAGGGAGAATCACGTTTGAGAACAAAATTGGACATGGATTTAGTCAAACGGGGGTTCTGGGACTGTTTAGGGTCTAGGGTGTAGGATAAACTTATGTGGCTAGTAAGTAACCAAAAACTGAAAGAAACTGCAAACTAGTATTCCTATTGGACAGTATACAGGCATTACTATTCTATGTAAGGATTTTAGCCCAAAAATTGTCGCATTTGAAACAGGACTACTCATAACCCTTTACCCGGATCTACACATTAGAACCCCAAGTTCGGGACATTTCCATGAGCGACGGCTTGAAAATTTCCTGGAACCGTCACACGGGATCCATTTTCTAGATCCTCCCACGGTTCGGGTAAACTGATGGCAAATGAGGTCACACAAGGTGACTTCCATTCCAAACTAACAACTAGAAAACATACTTACAGTGAATGTTAGCAAGATTTTATTGCAACAAAATTGGCTCATTTCTAGGAGAAGACTTCTCTAAAGCAATCATGATTTCAGTTGCGAAACGACATTGGATCCAAGCCAACAACCGCCAACAACCCCTGGGCTTCTTTTGGCCTCGACCAAAGCTGTGAACCCTAAACCTTGAACACTCATCCCTAAACCCAAAACCCAAATCCCTAAACCCTGAACTACCAATCAGACAGATTGCATCAGCCTGGCTCCAAGCCATCGGATCATTCGCGGCGCGGCAAGGCTTCCCACGAACATGCATACCTCAACTACCCAGACCCCTGAGCGGATCTAGAAAGTAGAACCCCCTTAAAGGATTCTAGACATTACCCAATAATAGCATAGGGTACCATATTGGAGGTTCTACTTTCAAAATCCTCCCAGGGGTCTGGGTAAGACATATCTATAGACTTGAGGGCCCCAGGTAAATATCATCAATAGACTTTAGGGCGCAATGCTGGTATATTTCTAACGGGGCCTTCCACAATTACGCTCCCATCGGACGGCCAAGGAAAAGCTATGTAATCTTCCTAGGCGAGTCTTGTTGGAACTGCGGTTCATCGTAAAGGCCCTGCTGCCTGCAATTCGATTGCTGCACAACCTCCAAAACTGAATGTGACAAACAAAACGGCACTAACGACTAACGATACATCACTGCGGGCTTCTTCAGGGCTCGCGCCATTCCCTCGTAATCCTCCAAAATACCTCCCAATCATGAGGCCCCCAAGTCCCCAAGCATGGTTTAATTGGTTCACGAATACCCGCTGTGTTCAACTTATATGTACTCTGAAATTGAACTTCCAAGCACAATTCCCGCCAACAGTGCTTCAAAGATTCAAAATATGCTGCCATGGTGTTATAACCAATGCGTCCCATCGAGGACTCCATCATCCTGCGGGGCTTCATTCGAATTAGGATTTCGGATTTCGGCTTTAAACGTGGAAGTTTTTCAAAACAGGGGGCCTGTAAGGAGCAAGTGGACAGCGGGGGATGATACTAAGAAACTCCCATTTGCGCTTTAAACTCTGGAGAAAACCCGGGCCTAATGATTATCTAGTCTGTGCTTGCGTGCACGCTTCGCACTCTCACCTGCTATTGTGGTAGTCATCATACTGGCATTCACGTGCATATCCGTAGTTTTTTCAACAAAAC